TCTACAGATGAAGTCTCACAATGTTAGCCTGCTCTGGCCTCCTAGCTAATTTTCTTCCAGATCCTCTGCTTTCCTTCTCTTCTGTTATTGTTGGCGTCTCTATTACATACTGCTGCAGAGTGCAGTTTTTATTTAACAAATTGGGTTATCATTCACAGAGATGATAAGGACTAAGGTTGCATTTGCAAGATCCAAGACAACAGAAACTTTGTGCATGTCTTAGCTTTGGTTGGGAACATAAACTTTTTTATTCCCGTAATGGGTAGTGCTTATACATATTTTATGTATTGTTTAATTTTAATTGTATATGTGCTGCTCTCCATTAACAAAATCCCAGGACAGTCCACAAACTTCTTTGAATGACACCTAAATTAAAACCCACAATAAAAAAACAAAGATCTCACTGGTCTAGACATTAAAATCAGCAATGTTTGATTAAACAAATAAAAATTTAACAGGTACTCAATATAAGGACTGGCCTGGTAGCAACTGCAGTCCTTAGAACAAGCATTTAACATGCATTTGTTAAACCATCCCACTCAGCAACTTAACTGCTGAGTGCTGCATATGCTGCAGTTACTGAACCATTCTCAGAGTTCTGCTGAACCACATTGCAGAAGGAAGGGGAACAAGGCAAAATTGATAATTTCATGGTGGTTGTGAGATTTTCTTTTTATCTGGAACTCACCATGTGTGAATTCTCCATGTTTAGGAAGGTGCAGCCCAAAACAGTGTGTGCTGACTCAGATGTCTATTCTGCTGTATCCAACAGGGCCTATTCTTTATTAACTGAGTAGAACTGCAGCTTGAGTAACTCTGTGTGCTGAAATTGCAAGTTAGCTGCATTTGTAAATTAACCAGCTACAGTTTTGCAGACCAGCTCTATGCTTGTTCAGTTGGATTTTGGTTAGAGTGTTGGACCGCAGTTTGGGCAATCCAGGCTCTAGTCCACATTGAGTCATGGAACTCATTGACAGGGTGACCTCAAGTCAGTAACCCTCTCACAACCTAACCTACATTACTAGGTTAAAGTGGAAGAAGGAGAGCATGTACATGATCTAGAACTCACTGGTAAAGAGATAGGGTAGAAGAGTAACTGATTTTTTAAAAATATCAATCATTGTCAAATAAATGTGCTTAGAAAGCTGAACTGAACTGAGCAGGTCTTACTTCCACATAAACATGCATAGGATCATGTTGCTTCTTGATTTATCAGTGGAGCCATTCATAATTGGTAGAGTTGACAGGCAAGGATTCAGCTGTCTATATTATGTGGGTCAGAGTTAGATTCCAGCTCAGCCATGAAATCCACTGGGTAACCTAGCAGGTTCTTGGGTGACCTTGGACAAGTCACATGCTCTCCCCTCAGAGGAAGGCAATGGCAAACCTCCTATGAACAAATCTTGCCAAGAAAACCCCATGATAGATTTGCCTTAGGGTTGGCATAAGTCGGAAATCATTTGAAGGCACACAACACACACATTTTGCCACAGACAGCCAGCTTGGTGCAGTGGTTTGAGCGTTGGGCTGCAACTCTGGAGATCAGGGTTCAATTCCCTGCTCAGTCGTGGAAAGTCACTAGGTAATTTTAGGTGAAACACACAATCTCAGCCCCAGAAAACCCTGTGATAAGGTCACCATAAGTTGTAAATGACTTGAAGGCACACAACAATAATGTTTTGCTACTTGTGTATTACTAAAACAAGGGACTGGACAAGAAAATATTCAAAATAACTTTCCTTCTCATAAGAAGTATTAGCTTTCCTGTCTAATTGCAAACTCCATTAGGTTTCCCTTCAACATCTCAAGAGGCCAATTATGTTGGGGGTTGGTAAAATGCTAATTTTTCTTGGACTGATTAACTGAATGATTAAAAAGCAGTTGATTAATCAGCTATAGTTCTTTAATTGGCTGGGAGCCCAACTTAATTATGGCTTTAAAAATTTGTCTGGATATACCTACTGAACTGTTCATTTCTTTTGGCCAATGAATGCTCTTTGCATTCTTATTGCAGACTCGGGATTCCACCCTGAGGGAATAATATACATAAGAAGATACTCATGGAGCTGCAGAGACATTCCAAATCTGTCGGAGATCCACATAGAACACCAGAAACTGTGGGACGTCCCTGTCTGCAAGAACCTGCTAGCGATGTGGGGCAGCCCATCAAGTTGGAGATAGGAGACGAGGGAGAGGATGTCCAAACGTTGCCTCCTAAACTCTCTCGCCCACCAGTTCCTTCTCCTGGAAGTGCCCTCATTCAGGGTTTGAATGGGATTCCAGGAACAGGCAGGAGAGCCCACATATCTGGAGGGACAGTGGGGGTGGAACAAGGTGAATCCTCTCGACTGGGGCGCTACTTGTTGATAGACAGTCAGGGGCTTCCCTACACTGTGCTGGTAGAAGAGGGGGTGGGAGCAGCAGGGGGCAATGAAGCAGGGAATGGGGGCTCCTTGCGGAAGGTGTACAGCTGCCCTGTGTGTTCCCGGACATTTGAATACCTGTCGTATCTGCAGCGCCACAGTATCACCCACTCAGAAAGCAAGCCCCATGTTTGCCGGGCATGTGGCAAGGCCTTCAAGCGCACATCCCACCTGGAGCGTCACAAATATACCCACTCAGGCCGGAAGCCTCATCAGTGCCCTATCTGCCAGCGCAGCTTCCGAGATTCTGGGGAGCTCTCGCATCACCAGCGGGTCCACACAGGCGAGAGGCCTTACCAGTGTGAGGCGTGCCACATGCGCTTTGGTGAACGCAACACCCTCCAGAGGCACATTCGCCGGAAGCACCGCCTGCAGCTGCTTCCCACAGCATAGAGACTGGTCTTTTGGGGACTTAACTTGTGCTACAAAGAACTAGCTTAAAAACCTACCCAGGCTGTAGAAATCCACCGTCCAGGCCCTGCTAGCATCCATGCATGCTGCGGTAATCCTAGCCTTCAAGTTTCTACCCACCACTAATGAACCTGATATTCCCACATCTATCAGACCAGTGACTGGCAGGTTCCATGAAAGACAAAATGTGGAAAGGAGAAACTCACACCCAGCTATACCACAAAATTATTATTAAAATATCTGCCATGCAAAGGCAAGCTTGCTAAGTCCTGACATGGACACCTCTTGTCTTCTCATGCCAAGTTGAACCTGGCATGAAGACTGGTTTACTACCCTTTTATAGAAATGCTTAGTCTGTCCTGCCTGCCTATGCTCCTCATAACCTGTCAGGAAGATCTGTTCCCTCCTGCTTTGTCCCCTGTTATCACTACCCCTAAAGGCCATACAGATCTAGCATGAATACATTGGCCTGTCATTCCCCATCTCTACAACAGAGAGTAGAGCCTGCTAGCATCAACTTTGCCACAGTATCCTGGGGAAAACCTCTTGTCTCATTTCATGATGGATGGCAGGGAAAATCCAGCAGGCCTTGCCTAGACCCAGCATTTATGGCACAGACATAGTCCTCCACTGCTTGTTAATAATAACCCTCTTTCTCATTGGTAGAACCAGATTTGAAATCTATCTAGAAGCTTCCATTTCTTTCATGTACACACTGACCCACAAACACAGCATGGGGACATTGGCCTGATAGAAAATGTGAATGTACCCATTGTAGGAAAATGTGCTCTATGGATTATGTTGCAGTTGCTTTGGAGGCAAAGGATAACTAGATTGGGACAACAATCAGGATGACTCTCCTTATTTTGGCATAGAATTTTAGCTAAGACTCCCAACTGGATTTGGCAGATATTGATCCATCATTTTTAGTATGCTGCAGTTGTCTTATTTAGTAGTGCCAAGTGCTAGCCTGATACAGAATGAGACCTCCAATTTTAAATCCTGAGGTCCCATCTCAGCAACAGTTTGTGGCTAAATTATTGTCTACCCCATTCCATTCTCTGTAAAATAAACAATGTGACAGCCTTTTACAAAAGTGGTAGTATAAAGGCTACATGAAATATTGGCTGAAATATATAATGGTGGGGTGGGAAGTACTTCCCCCTCACCCAAATGTTCATGGTCTGTAATTCATGGCATTCCACACAATTGGTTATGCTGGTTATGGCTAATTTCTAACTGTGGTTTAGCACCTTTTCCTGATTAAAAAACATATAAATTAATTGGTGAAGAGTGGGGCCACTGAAGGATGGGATAGAGACATTCTGCAACTCTTAGCTCTTCACTGTCTTAATTTAAAATCATTTACTTTTCCAATGAAAAAACTGTGATTCTACATTCCTTCAGAAAGATGCTGCTGCTACCTCTGCTGCTAGTTCAGCCACCAAACCAGATCTGTAGCCAGGTGCATCTGTCCTGTCATCAGGCCTTGTTAACACTTGGGATTTATTCAGATAACTTCCCAAGTAAGTGTGGGCCACCATCTGTGTGCTTGTGGGAGAACAAATGGAAATGGGGAGGAGGACAATTGAAACCTCAGCTGTACTGCAAACTAAAGCAAACCAAACAACCCTCAAATACATTTGCCTTCATCCCTGACTTTTAGCAATGGGGGTGTGGGTAACAGAGGATGAGAGTGTGGTTTCCTCCAATATTTTAACAAGCATAGGATTTTTCTGTTTCTTTTACAAAGGTTTAATACACACTGCAGAAATAATCCAGTTTGAGACCACTTTAACTGCCCTGGCTCAATGCTAGGGAATTCTGAGAACTGTAGTTTTGTGAAACATTTAGCCTTTTCTGTCAGAGAGCTCTGGTGCCACAATAAACCACAATTCCCCAGATTCCTTAGCACTGAGCCAGGACAGTTAAAGCAGTCTCAAACTGGAATATTTCTGCAGTGTGTTTTGGACCCAAGTGAAAATGGGTTGGCTGAAGGAAAGGAAGCAGGAGAAACTGATATACAGGCATGTGTTCCAAGGTGCCAGAAAAACTGGTAACTCCAAAGCTTGCCAGGGAGATCCCTGGATCATGTTTCCTCTACTTCATATTTAGTGTGGACTCTTTGATCTATGTGAGTCTTCTTTTTTAAAACTACAAACCATTCTCTGGAGATTTGGTTCATCTTTGTGTACTACACAAATAAAGTGATGCTGTGTTACTGCCATCTTGTAAATCCATTGACAGGATGGAGAGCCATTGATTCAGAGTGAGTTCTTTGCACTGAGAACAGTCTTTTAAGTACATAAAATATGCGGCAAGAGCATACCCTTCCAACATTTCACAGATTAAAACTGGGATACATAGGACCAAACAGCATCAGAGTGTTGTCAAGATGGCAAACAATATTGAGGAAAAACACACAAGCTAAGGGCGGCAGCAGTTTGCTTTTGCCTGAGCCTACTTGGGAAGCAGTGGCATCACTATAGGGGTGGGGGGTGCAGACCGCACCA